CTTTGAAATGGATTTTTCAAAATTCCAGAAAACATCAGAAACTGTCATCCTTGTGCTGCCTGTACTCCAGTTACAGGCACCAACATCTAGAAATGCAGACTATTATGAAAAGATCTCTGACCCCTTGGACCTTGCCACAATCGAGAAGCAGATCCTGACTGGCTACTACAAAACTGTGGAAGCTTTTGATGGGGACATGCTGAAGGTCTTCAGGAATGCAGAGGTGAGGCTCTCTCTAGCCTGAAAGCTGCTGCACTGGCAGCAGGGATGTGCCCTCCTTTAATGCTCTTACAGGAGTAAAAGAAGAAATTTAGTCTGGAGGAAGAGAACGTGTGCTGATCCATTCCTGATGAGGCCTCAGTAGCAAATCAGGAGCTCTTTGACTCCCTTAGGTCAGAGAGAATGTCAAGGACACTCATGAATAGCTGACCTAAAGAAATTTCCACTCCCTGTGGAAGGGGTACCCTGTTTTTCAGTATCAGATGTCATGGAATCACAGAATCATAGAGTGGTTTGGGCTGGAAGGAACCTTAAAGCTCATCCCATTCCACCCTCTGGCATGGGGAGGGACACCTTCCACTACCTCAGGTTGCTCCAAGCCCTGTTCAGCCTGTCCTGGAATACTTCCAGAGATCCAGGGGCAGCCACAGCTCCTCTGGGCACTCTGTGCCAGGGCCTGTCCACCCTCACAGGGAGGAATTTCTCCCATAAAGCCAACCTAAATTTCTTCCTTTTCAGTCTGAGCCCATTCCCCCTTGTCCTGTCCCTGCAGTTCCTGATGAACAGTCCCTCTCCAGCTTCCCTGGACCCCTTCAGATTCTGTGAGGGGCTCTGAGGTCTCCACACAGCCTTCTCTTCTCCAGGCTGAACATTCCCAGCCCTCCCAGCCTGGCTCCATACAGGAGGGGCTCCAGTCCCCTCAGCAACTTCATGGCCTCCTCTGGACTCTCTCCAACAGTTCCATGTCCTTCTTGCACTGGGGGCCCTGGAGCTGGACACAGCTTCCAGGTGGAGTCTCAGGAGGGCAGAGCAGAGGCAGAACCCTTTCCTTGATCTGCTGCCCACATTCTTTGGATGCAGCCCAGGACACGGGTGGTTTCTGGGCTGTGAACACACATGGCCACGTTGAGTTTTTGGTCACCTCTCACTCCAACTCCTTCTCCCAGAGCTGCTCTCAGTTCCTGCCCTGGCCCTGTCACATCCATGGACCTGCTGGAGAGGTGCACCCCAGGCTTGGTGCCGCAGCTGTAGGGAGAACCCTCCCAGGCACGCACAGGCAGGAGCTAAACGGAAATAAAGCGTTTCGGGGGGTTGTATTTTGTGATTTGTGCAGAAATACTACGGCAGGAAGTCCCCGACGGGGCGGGACGTGTGCCGGCTGCGCAAGGCCTACTACAACGCGCGGCACGAGGCCTCGGCCCAGATCGACGAGATCGTGGGGGAGACGGCCAGCGAGGCCGACAGCAGCGAGACCTCGGTGTGTGACAAGGACAACGGGCACGAGAAGGACGAGGACGTCATCCGCTGCATCTGTGGCCTCTACAAGGACGAGGGGCTCATGATCCAGTGTGAAAAGTGCATGGTGAGGGGCACAAAGGGAGGCTGATCCCCACAGAGCTTTTTGCTAAAAAACAGTTTGATAGGCTGAATTTGATATAGCTGCCTTCACTGTGTGAAAACCACATATGTGAAATCTCCAAGGTAAAGCCTAAAGTAATGGAGTACTGGTCAGCACTGTTAAATCATGAATCAACCTAGCTTTTATTGATTAAGTCTGATGGTTTTGGTAAGTATGTGATGAGTAAAGGCAAAGTCATGTATTTAAACATATTCCTTCCACATTTTTCAATTTTCTTACAGCTGCCTTTCCCTATTTCAGTTATAAACCTTTTCTTCATGAGGCAATTCATTATTACAATGAAGAAGAAACAATATAATGTGAAAAAATAGCATGTTAAAGTGACTGTTCAGCCTTGCATATTGATCAAAGCAAAGCAGAACTTTTCACCAGCAGTTCCCATGTGCTTGGGAGCATTAATTAAATTCTTCAGGCCTTTTACTTCCTCTTCACAAGAGGAGAGATTCTCTTTTCACAAGAGAAAATGCAACTTGAGTTGAGCAGAGGAGATGAAAACTGCCCC